ACAGACTCAGTGATCATCGACCCCGTGAGTACGGTGTAGACTGGAAACAAGCTAAATGCAGAAGAATTGAAGGTTTAAAAACATAAGAATATACATATACCAGCAATTTATTCAAAAATGGGAAGTTGTGCCTTATATGCAATTAAATACGTTCATGCTAATTAACCATTCAAAAACGGATTTAAAGTAATCAACTATCATCATGCATAGCAATAAATCAATGCTGTCACATAAGTAAGAAGGAGCAGTAGCAAACTATTATTTTTCATCGTGTAAAATCTACTTACGTAAAAACCAAAAGAGATTTAACTCTCGAGTAGGTACAAAAATAGCAACACGTGGACTTGTTTCCACGTCATATCATCCGAGAGCTCCGCTCCACCGGATCCCCACATGCCATGGTTATCTCAACGATGTTGGCCGACATCGAAGAAGAATCAAGCGGTCGCAACCGCATATAATCTTTTGTGGCCTAGCCACGTAAAATCACAAACCTTGACCCCAGCCATGTCTAACAGCCCATCGGCTACCCAAAGGTTCTCTAGCTAGAGCTCACTTGTGCACAAGGGTCACAATTAACCGGAGTGACAACCGGCCTACTCTCAAATCTCCCGGTTCAGTAAAACCATTTGAAAAATCAAATCAAGTTTTCAAAGGATCGTTTCAAACCATTTGCAAAACACCGATTATGGTCACATTCAAAAACCTCTTTTGTATCCCCTTGCTATGTAAATCTTTTTGCATAGGGTTAATGCCTAGTCCACATGGTGAATAAGAAATTATTCATTAGTGCACTTCACAAAATTCACAAGGCACATTTTTGACGTCAAAACATTGAAAAGCTTGCTTCCCGATTTTTAAATCTTTTATGTATATAAATCGTATATATATATATATATATATATATGCATAGTCAAGTCCATTTTAAACATTTGGCATTCACAATTTTCAAAGATCACTACCAGCTTATGCGTTCCACAATTTGCATTGAAAATAAATCATTTCACATTCACAAATACATATATAC